AATATATCCAGTGGATAAAGCTACCAAGGAACTCTATTGTGGATTTACGAACAATGCAATAAATATCACTGGAAAAGTAATTGTCCCAATTTCCTCAAATGGATGGTCCCACAAGGAATGCCACTTCTTTCTAACTCAAGGTCATGAAAGAAACATCTTGGGAAACGACAATTTACCAAAAGTCGGAATCGAAGTTTCACAAAAACAATACGCAACACTCACCAACAAGAGAACTTACAAAGGGAAGTCGATCTTAAGCAGAGAAAGGGCCCTCGACTGGAACGCTGACGATCGGGTAGAGGACGGATACAAAGACTCCCTTATACCGAAAAAGAACCAGTCACCATTGGAGAAAGGCTATGATTCAGACCTTCCCACTACTTCAAAACCTCAATCAGCCCGAGTGTCCTTAAACAGTCCGTTTAAAGGTCCAAGAAAGTCACACAAATCGAAGACACAACAGACGCGGAAACCAGACACTAAGTCAGGAAGACAAACAGTGTCGCCCACCCCGGTCACCACCAGATCTAGAGGAACGAACCAGCCTTCAAAATCCAACAAATCGAAGAAGAACCAAAATAAAGCCTCGACGTCGAATACTGGATACCTAGCAGGTGACGAATCAATGTTTATTCCGTCGGATACGTCGGACATTAGCGATTGGGAATGGATTGCGGGAGGTTTCCCATGTAGAGAAATGATAAGAAAACGCTTCATTTCAGATAACGACAATTTTAAAAAAGAACCTACCTCATCATTAGACCCTAAAACATATCAAACTAATATAAAACCTGAGATTTTAGACGAACAATCTCAACCCTCGGACACAGCGGAATGCCCAATTAGTATAAAACCAGCACTTCAAACTACCTCACATTCACCTGACGAACCTTCTACGGCTACGACAACGGAGCCGCCAAACATTCCTTCGGATTGGACAAAACCATTGGTGGGAGAAAAACCGGTCGATTTCCCAGTTTTCGAAATAGAGGACTCCTCAGACGAAATTGGAACCAGCGAGGATAGACATCCTAAGGAAATTAATACCACCGATGAGCTAGAAAACCAACCAGGCTCCGCTATTAATCCTATATCTCTGGACGAAGATGACAGCTCGAGCTCCCCCACACAAACTTTCAGAGAGAATCCCTTGGATAATCAGACCAACATTTGCAACACACTACCGGAAGACAGTACACCGGACCTAGCTTACACCCAATCTCCTGATCGATTCTCCATCGCCTCTACTGACGATTCTCTGAGAGATGCCGTGAACTGTTTTGAAAATTACATCGACTTAGATAGTGAAATTTTCAACGCCGAGCTGGAAAAATTTATGGAAGGGGACAGCTAAACTCAATCAAATTTTTAAAACTCACATTTAGTCATTTATAATCTGTACTAGTATTTTGTCTAAAGCGCAATTAGTGCTTACTTAGCTGTAACTACGGATTACAATCCGCCGGATTTAGGAAATTTATTATCCTCTATAATTTAGTCATTCCTTTGGAGCATCAAAATGACATTTGTTATACTGTGCAGTATTTAAAATTTCATTTGTTGGACTTCTCGAGAGGGAGAAAAAGGGATTGTTAACATGTTGGATATCATGGCGCTGAGTAACTTAAATTTTTTCCCACTAAGGGGAATGTTGTGATTCTTACCATTTGTTTTATTTCACTAATTACTTTAAAGTATCTTAACTGGTTAATCTTGATTTGACCTTGCTATCTTCATTCTCTCCGACGGAGAGAATGACCGCTCATTTTTTAATGTTTTAACTTAGAGATTAATTCACTTTTTAAACTTATCTTATTTGTAACTAAGTAGAATTAACCGTAACAAAGGAACATTTTATCATCTACCTGCCCTAGAATTTCATGTATTAAAGTCAGAAAAAATTCAATCTCGTTAACTCTGTCTCAATAAAACGGAAAAAAAATTCAATCAATATCAATTTTTCAACAATTTTGTTTTTAGATTTCTCATGTTTTTTTTGTACGTAGAAAATTCGATTCCAATCTTCTATAATCTGTTTCATTTATTAAATTTTGTTGCATTCCACTGTTAACTGGTGAAGTGTTTTCGAAAATCAGTTGATTTTTTTAAAAAAATTTTCGTTTATATTATGGTTATATTTGCAATTTTTTTTTAAATTTCACGATGTAGCGAGTTTTGACAAAACGAATTACTTCGAAAACAGAAAAAAATTTATAATTTGATTTTGACTGATTTTTCTAGAAAATGGAAAAAAATGAGATCTAGAGCTAAGTTAACGTTTTATTATTTGATTATTCATTGAAATATCAAACATCCCATGCCACTTATTTTCACTATTTGTTTGAAAAATAGTTCATAATTATATTTTTTATATATTTTTTAAAAAATCGGAGAAACTGTAATGACACGTTGCAATTACTGAACATGTGTCAATTTCTGTCGCAGTGAAAGTTATCGCTGCAAGCGTTGAAAAATGCTCAAAGTAGAAGTCACTGAATTCGTTTTATGCGGGAACAGGCAAAAAGACGAGGTTTTAATGAACGGCAACAATATAACCATTTCATTCTCCGAGGGGGGGACACGCAAATCAATTAAATTGACAAAAGTTTAGACCAAGAGTTTCCATTATGATCAGTTTTTATCCAATTAATTAGGATACGTCATACGTGTATATGCTGTGAATTTGGTTCAAAATCTTTAGAAAAAAAATTTTTTGAACTAATTTGTTTCTACAAATCTTTGCCAAAAATGTAAACCGATACAATGAAACGGTTTTCTTCACCTCATACAAAACAAAACAAATTACATCAAGATAAATTGAAACAGAAATTCAAGAGGTACTTGTATGACATACCTGAGTCAAGAAAAACTAGACATCTGGAAAAAAGAAGCGCTGGCGCAATGGTGTTCGTCCTGATGATGCTGATATTTTATTTTAATTTATATAACTAACACTAACTAACCGAACTTTGGTTCAATGGTTAACAATCCGTCGGTCAAAATCGACTTTCATGTTTATAATTTTGTCAATATAATTAAAAATAATTACCTTTTAGGACCGTTCAATTGGTTATACTCCAATATAATCCATTTTTTTTCTAAAAATTTGAATCAAATCTTAGTAAATAAAAACGTTTATTATTGAACCTTTCATCATCTGCACAATGTTTTTGCAAATTATGTGTAGAATTTGCAAACATTTATGCCATGGTCAACTCCTACTCAATTTCTCATTTATTGTTCCGACTTTCGATACGAAAGTAACGGAATATTTGTGCTCGGGGTCGGTTTTTTTTTTCTTCAGACAAATTTCGACTTTTTAACTAGCCATTTTTGACGGAATTTTTTTTTCATTCGAAAGCCATTGTTGTCCTAAGCTTAAATTTGAAAAGATATTTCACCTGTGGTCATTTTGCGTAAAGTTATGAGGGTTTAAATATTGCCATTTTGGCCATTTTGACCAAATTGGGACAATTAACGCGCGATATCATTCGCGCTATTAACGCGTAAGCGGAGATTTAATCCGTCTTATAAATCGTTCCAAATTGGTTGAACGAAGCTTATTTGCTATAATTGATTTGTTACAAGGAACGAAATCTATCTTTTTGTTCCGACTTTCGGTACGAAAGTAACGGAATATTTGTGCTCGGGTGGGTTTTTTTTTTCTTCAGACAAATTTCGACTTTTTAACTAGCCATTTTTGACGGAATTTTTTTTATATCATTCAAAAGATATTGTTGTCCTGAGCTTAAATTTGAAAAGATATTTCACCTGTGATCATTTTTCGTGGAGTTATGAGGGTTTAAAGATTGCCATTTTGGTCATTTTGAGCAATTTGGGATAATTAACGCGCGATATAATTCGCGCTATTAACGCGTAAGCGGAGATTTAATCCGTCTTATAAATCGTTCCAAATTGGTTGAAAGAAGCTTATTTGCCTTAATTGGTTTGTTACAAGGAGCTAAATCTATCTTTTTGTACTTTATATGGCGTGTGGGGGGATGATTTTCATAAAAAACTTCAAATTTTAGAAAAAAAAGTTTCATTTTATTTTATTTCATTTAATTTTTTATGCTATTACTGCTGCTCCATAAACCTTAAAAGGCAGTCGGAACATTCAGGGCTTCACCCTGATACGAGCAGTCTTGTTGTACTTTATATGGCGTGTGGGGGGATGATTTTTATTTAAAAAAATTCAAATTTAAAAGTTTTTTTTTTCATTTTATTTTATTTCATTTAATTTTTTATGCTATTATGGCTGCTCCATAAACCTTAAAAGGCAGTCGGAACATTCAGGGCTTCGCCCTGATACGAGCAGTCTTGTTCACTTTTGTATTCTTGTCTAAACGGTATCTATTACAAAACTAACACCCCCCTCTCCCGTACTTAACCAAAGAGTTTTCAACATATTTCTTGACGTTAAAAAAACAGGCCAGGTCAAATTCCTCGGGGTATTTATCGGTTGAGATACGTAAATGGGTAAAGGTAAATCTGAAAATTTTGGGGATTTTAAGATTTAAAAAATAAAAAATATAAGTAAGAAGAGGAAAATAACGAAAAGAAAAAACTGAAAAAAAAAACGCTTTTTCAACCACGTGAATTTCTTATTTAATACTTGAACGCCTGCTTTGCGAAAACAACGGTCAAGTTTTGAAGTTGTTGAATCGTTTTTGCCCTTGTTTGACTAACTTTCGGGCAAAAAAACTATTGAATATCCTTATTATCTTTTATTATTTGATTTAAAATCGGACATATCGCTTTAAGATGCAAGACCCTCATACTCCATTTTAATTCAATTATAATAGCTTTGTTAAGTTTTATAGATACTGTCTAAAATAGTACCATATACTCAATTATTATACTCAAAAATTGGGTGCGGGAGATATCGTTTTGAAATAATTTATTATTAAGATTTAAATAAGCTTAATTGAGAGCTTAATAGATGCTTAAATACTATCATCTTAACTTGCAAACTCTGGTGGAGAAAAAATGTAGCTGACCTGGTTTTTGATAGCAGCAGCGCCAACTCCGACCTCCAAAAGAGCTGTGACGAATTCCTTCCGGTTATACTGTACAGCTAAGTGCAGTGGTGTATTCTTCTCCTGAAAGAAAACTCGAGGCATTGAAATCAGAAAAATCAGAAACTACAGAAATGACATGGCTTAACACTTATTCTTCCGATTTGAGTTCCTGTATTTTTATCCGTTTTTGTTTTACATTTTTTAATTCAAAAATTGAAACAGAACAATATACCAACATAACATCGGGAATTTATTAAACTAATCAAACGGAAGTGTGGCGGCTTCATGTCATTTAAGACTTCTAAATATCAACGTGTCGGGTTTAAACGTGTCGCATATCCGTTTCAGACGGATAATCGTTTTCCAGCTCAGCCTAAAAACGGATGGCAAAACGAAACAAACTCCCGAAGAGTGCAGAGTGAAACAAAATCAAATACCTTAACTGGCACTTTGAGATAAAACGTTTCTTTGTATAGTGCACGCGTGTAATTCATCAATTTTTGATGCATCTTTTTTGGATGCACAAAAATTGCCAATACCACAGCCGTTGAAATCGTCAAATGACTGTCTCTTTTGAATCAAAACGAAAACAAACAGTTCATCACGAGGATATTTTTCCATAGCAGACAGTTCCAATGAACGAATTGTTAATGTCCGCATTGGAGTTCCATGAATAAAAATCGATTTTGTAACATGGGAACCGATTATATTTACAACATTTTAGGACACGAAAATCCATTATAACCGATTTGTTTTCACTTTTCTTAAATGCGGGTAAGCTCAAAACTTCGCCAAAGTTGTCCACTTTGTGTATAAAACGTTGCATTTAGAATTCTAATTTAATGACATTTTTTTCCTCTTAAACACTCTTTATGCTACTTGAACTCCACTGCTTTCCTGCACTGCTGGTAAAGAAAAACTCATCCAGAGTGCATAAAAACTCTAATAACTCCTTTTGCATGGAAAAAACACACAATCTTACCGAGTTAGTTTCTTCGAATTTGCAGTATGAGTTTGAGATGAGGAATTTGTAGGCAGCAAATTGGTTGTATCGCACACAGATATGTAGACACGTATCACCACACTAAAAAAGAATTCTTGAGCATCAGCAGAAAAACAAGGCTTGAAGTATTCAGGAATTTTAAAAACCGATTATTACTGCTTTGATAAAAAATTTTAATTTTGTCAAAATATTTTCAAATTGCTACTTTTTAAATACACAAATTCCTACTTTTTGAAACAAATAGGTCCTTTTAGAAGAAAAAAAATTAGATAATTTAAAAATTAGATAAAAAATTAGAAAATTATAAAATTAGATAATGTTTCTAGACAGCAAACTGTCGTCAAATTTTGAAATGAAAAAGATTTTTTTGCTCATTAAGTGTAGATTAAATTGAGCGCAATCATACATTGAAGTTTTATGGATATTTTCTCTTCGCAAAGACGAGGATAATTTTTTTCTTTCGGGAAAGTTGAATGTCATGACAGAGTCTCTAATCTAGAATGGTATAAATGACACGGCATAGAAAAAACCATTTTTAACTGTTTCGATTTATAAATGAGGAGTCTTTTTCTGCGATTGATTTTATGCAGCAAAACTGTACTCTAAATGTTGAAGGATTATTTATTTTAAACAATAATTTGTTTCCTCGCGTGTGAAGAAAAAAAAATTGTAAAAAATGTATACATTGCGTTTGTTTTGCACAACATTACAAGGCCAAAATTTGCTCTGGATAGGCGCAAAATTGAGTGTCTGTAGGGGCTCTGGAACTCAGAAACTAAAAATACAAGTCATTAAACTTGTTCCAAAATGTAAGCGAATTCCACTTACAACATTTTCGTGGCTTCCACGCTCAAATAAGTGTTAAGTAAATTTTGTCGGCACATTAGTTTGTCGCGGAAACCGCAAAAAGCAAAAATAGCGAATTGTTCCGGAATCCGCAAGTGCAAGTAAATTTCAAAAGTTGTAAGCGGATTGCGCAAAAAAAAGCGCTTTCCACTTACAATTTTCAGGTTCCGCTTACCTTTCGCGGATTCCGCTTACAGTTGCAGATTCTGCAACAGCGTAACTCTACTATACAGATATATTTTATTTGGTTGTGGATTTCACAAATTGTTCCGGTCTCTGCAACTTTTGTAGCGGATTCCGCAAATTTTTCTGTTTCAGGAACAATACAGTGTTCAAACTCTTTTTTTTTTTGTGGATACCGAAACATTGGAGATAAATAAAAAAACTCGAACAATGCGGATTCCAGATTTTTTTATCAGCATGTTGCTAAATACGCTTGCAATTTGCAAAATACAAGGGCCTCGTAATGAAACTAGTTTTCTTATTGTGTAAACCAATAAACTCAACAAAACACACAAGTAATATTAATGCAGCTGAAATACTAAGCAATTCAAAGTCTTAAATGAAGCATAACAAGCCTTCTAATATAAGGGCGAAGCCATAAAAATATTGAAAAATTTTTAGTTTTTTTGGTGATTTTTTAAAACCCACACGGCTATATAAAGTTTAAAAGAGATATTTTTTGCATTAGGCATTGAAATCAAAACTCCGAAAAGATGCCTCAGTTCAACTTAGGTAAACAATTTCGAGGACAGAAATAATCTCCTCTTAAGCATTAATAGCTTAAGAAATTGCGCGTTATTTGTCCCAAATTGGCCAAATTGGCAATAATTAGGCCGCAATTAAGCCGCCACAATTATAACAAGTATAGTTTATTTTTAATATTGAGCTCATGAAAACAAAACTTGAATAAAAAAATACTCTCAAAACAACCAAGTATAAAGTCAAACTAATTCTGGAGAAAAAGACACCTGGAGCACAATTATTCCGTCATTTCTTCGGAAGTCGGAAGAAAAAGAAGCAGAAAGAGGACTGATCCCGTTTCTCACTACAACAAAATTAAAACATGTTGCATCTTCTCATACCTTTTTTTAGATCAATCAGTTTGCTTTGAACTTGGTTAATCTTTAAATTATTTCTGAAAAGGAATATTTCTTTGCTTTTGCTACCCATCAAAAGGAAAAAGGAATTTTTGCGCCCATCAGTTGCCTCAATTTGGCAATTTTAAATCGCCATAACGTCACAATTTTTTCCTCTAAATGACCTCAAGGCGTTAACATTTTTTAGCTGGTACCAAAAGTTTTGTCAAAATTGGTTAATTAAAAAAGAACAAATTGGTTAGTTAAAAAAAACATCGTGAGCATAAATATTTCATCTCATGTTCTACGACGAGACTGCTTACACTTTAGCTAAAGGTAAAATACCAATTGCATCATAGCAATTGTTGTCTTTTTACGGATTGGTTGTTCTCCGATTGTTAAAATAATTGAGAGCTCGAAAAAAATTACTACAATTTTTCACTTGAAAACATAAGCGACTGATTGATAAGGTTGAACGCTATACGTGCATTTGCGGTTGCGTTCAAAACTAGCTTCAATTAACTCTGGAACTCTGGACATCAAAGTTTTTTGCATGGTTCAATACAATAACCTTACCTTTTTGGTAATTGGATCACCCAATGATTGTCAGGATAAAAATGACCGAGTGGTCTGCGGTTAATCAGATCGGATATTTGTTGGCTGAATTGTCCAATTTTCAAAAGCGATTCAAAAAAGTTGGTTTTCAAAATTACCAATATTACTTACCAAATTGCGACAGCAAATTTTAGTCGCAGATAAATCAATTATAGGAAACGAAATTACGTAGAAAACGAAATTACAAAACAACAAGGTACTAGCTTGGAATTAATATTAATGTATCCCCCGCTAATCTACTGACTAAGTTTTTACCCTGAAAAACCCAATAGATCAATTTGATTGATCGAGCTTCAAACGGGATTGGTAACTTGCGTACGTATTCCGTGCAATGCAGAGGTCTCTTTTTCAGGTAAATGACTACAATTTTTCACATTGTTTTCCTGTGTCCCAAATGCTGTGTACAAAGATTGGTTAAATATATAACTGGTTAGTTTTTTAAAATAATTTATAACGAGCTGTTCATCAATTTAGACGGCTAGCCTGGGTATTTAGGAAAAGCATTCAATTTTAATGAAATATGTCTATAATCGAATAAAATGTAAATAAACTGACAGCTCTCAAAATAAACAACAGATAGCCCATTTTTTCGGTGAAAAAGAAAATACAGCTTTTTCCAGTTTTGTTCCAAATTTCTTCCTAAATTTTAGCTTGTTTTCGTTTCTTACCATTGACTAACGAAAAACAACGGGAATAAAATTAGCATAAAGGGGCAACTTTTCAAGAGGAAAATTGGATTAAAGATGTATATGTTAATTGAATATAGTCCATCCATTTACAAACGAAACAAAATATGAGATGGTATTTGGTTCTATTTTTTTTCTCCATTTTTGACTATTCAGTATAGCTATCCTATCCCCATTTTTCAAAGCCGCTAAAAGCTGCTGCTAGGTTCAAATTACCATTTATAATAACTCATTTTAACCCTAAACGAGAACTAAGTCTAAAAGCATGCTCCATTGCGAAGATTATGCTGATTGCGCATGTGGTAAATGGTATTATGTGGGATATAAATTGGTAAGAAAAGTGAAAAAAATTGCCTCTGGCATTTTCATATTCCATTTCTATTCCCAGCACACCCACTGAAAATCAAATAGCTCCTCCCCTTTTTCCCATTAGAGCAGACGCTTTCCCGCTATTAGCCCGACGGCGGGTTGGTGGTGTTGGCAAGATAATTTATAATGGACACTAAATAGACGAATAATCTCTGAACAGAAAACAAATTTTCGATTGCAATTTTTTTCCCAGGATTATTCAAAAATACTTCAGAACTTGCGTTTGAAAATAGCTTAAATATTACGCAATTTATAATTTCTTTTATAATTTTTATTCAAATTGCTTATAAGTACGTGAAAAACGATCTGTTTTAAAACCTTCGTAGGAAATTTTTTCGTCTTTCTAGTTGCTTTTAGAACAATGACAACCTACCCATGACGTGAAATTTTTCCTTGATCTTTCTTTTCACTCATACAAAAATGGAAGCAGCAGACACTTTTTCTTTTGTTTACATGTAAAAACAAGATGATTAATTTCGGCGAATCATGCGTCACTTTTTAAATTCAAACTGACATTTCGTTTATTCAAAATTGATAATGACATTTCGTTTATTCTTTTAAAATTTTGCAGATTCAAAACAAGCTAATTGAATACAGAACTTTTGTGTACTTTTGTGAACCTTGTGTTCACGTTGAGAAGAAGTCGGAAATTAGTAAATGTAGCTATTGAAAAAGTCCTTTTTTGCTAAAAATGTTAAAAAGATGATAACAAAAATATTATGCATGCTGTTTTAAACAAATCAACTTAAAAAATTTGCTGATAAAAACTTTTTAAAAAAATTTTGCAAAATAGTGCAGGTTGATTTGTCTCAAACTTTATTGTACTTGCACTTCGGAATTTATGCTTTTCTGGCTGACTTTTTCAGATAAAAAACGTATATCTACAAAAACATTATTATTAAACGAATTTTCAAGTGCACAAGAATGTAAAATTGCCACCAACGAATACATAAATATCTGTATTTTTTCTGTTTTTTTTCTGAAAATACTGTTTTTTATAAAGGTCGATCGATTGAAATAGAGGAGGGAGAGTGGTAAATCTCTTTTCGAAAAAAAGTGAGAGAGTCGAGGCCCTCTATGATCCGTGTCTCTCATATAGAAACCGTGTCCATTGCTGTAGGGATGACAACCTTACATAGCCAAGAAAACGACCAAAAAATTGCATATAGTTCTTAACCAAGGGTAAAGCAACGGTTCTCCGTTGAGAACTGAACAGTTGTCTGTTGATTCTTTCATTCGAGGGTAGGTCGTTTTTATTTTATAGAAACAATAAACTGAGAAAATTATTAGTAGAAAAGTTAATAATTTGCAAAAGAATAAATGAAGGTGTTATCTAATATATGGTACCAAAACTCGTGAAATTCAGGCGACTTTTGTTGACACTGAATACTTCGTTATGTTTTCTAAGAAGTCTGAATCACGATTAAAAGAATTTCTTTGGGGTTCTCCATTTTATTCGATACGAATTCTCGTTGAAGTAGCCAAAATAGGAAAAGAAGATTCAGCAAACGCCATAAATTTTATCATAGTTTCAAGAAAAAATTAAACCCTTAAGAAAAAATATCATTAGTTTGAAAAAAAACGCAAAACAAGGTATTTTTTTAGCCAAATTGCACAGGAAAAAAATATCTAGTGCTTTTCAAATAAAATCAATTACCTAGAGTTTTTTTTTCGGAAAAGTTTTTCAACGATGCCATTTTGCCAAAAAAAACGGGTTGACCAAAACTTCTTATCATACAATTTCCATATATGAATTCTTGTCATACAGTTCCATACATTTCCATATATACAGAAAGTTGTAAGCATTTTTCCATATATGAAAATTGTATGACAAGTGTTTTTCCATAAATCAAAAAATTGATTTTTTTCTTGTTTAGTTTCTGAAAACTGAACGCAACTGAGAAGCACCAAAGACGTAGGCCTGTTGTCTTAGACCTGTACTTGACAAATGATATAACGAAATTAACAAACTTTTGATTTTTGGCTAAAATTTTCAACGATGAATATTTTTAAAATTTGAATTTTAATACTATCAACATTAATCAAGACATACATAAACATGCCATACAAGAAATAAGGAGTTTTCAGCGCTTTTGAAAAAAAAAACTTTTTGCTAGTCATACAAATTTGTTAGTCATACAATTTCAATATATGGGAATTGTATCATAAGCCTTTTTTTGCAAAAAACAAAAATATCGTTTTTTTTATCACCAGACGGTTTTATTAGAATCAAACAGCCGCAGAAATTACCTTAGATTTTTTTTCAACCAGATTACAAAACTGTATGAAAATTGTATGGCAAGCATTTTTCCACACATATGATATATGGAATTGAATGATAAGCATTTTCGGTTTATGGAGGTCACCGCGGGAAGACAAAAAAAAACATTTTGAAAAAGGTATATTTTGTTTGCATTTTGGAAGCTTTGGTGGTCATGGAAAAGTTAGAAAGCTCGACGTTATCAAAAATTACCTAAAAAACAAAAAATATATATCTTGGTCGATTCATTTAAAAAGTAAAGTCTTAAACTCATCTCATTAACTCATGATAACTGTGACTATCAATCCCATTTCATGACAATTTTTCTTCAAAAATCTATAACTTTAAGATTTCTTTTTGACAATGGGATTTTTTCCGGTAAAAGATTTCATTGAAAAATGCGATGACTAAATGTCGTTTCTAGCTTTGCGTCAGAAAAACCTACGTCTGCTTGATATCTTATACACATCATGATATCTTACGTGTTTGCTGAGTATTATAAACTAAATTAAATTGATGCTAATTTAAAAAAATCATAATTCATAACTATCAGTGAATTGAATTACTCACCGCATTTTTCCAGTTGGGATCAGACCCACTCTTCAGCAGTGCCTTGATTGCGTCCAGGTGTCCACTTTGACAGGCCAGGTGCACTCCCAGGTTACCATCCTGATTAGTAATATATGTTTTCAAATAAGTTATAACAGAAAAAATTGAATCTACACAAAGAAAAAAATGAGAGTAGTCAGTGAAAAGTTTAGACTTATTTTGAGACTTATTTTATTTGATGTTTCGATTAATTAAACGATATAAACTTTTAGGAACAAATAACTTCATACTTTTTAACTAAGTACATTGACTGCTACGTAAATTATTGCACTTTTTCGATTCAAGAGAGATTTCTTTGTGTCCTAAAATTTTCGGTTTTCTATTTTAAATGACAAAAAATTGATAAGCAGTAATAATCAATTCAATTTATATGATTTTGATTGTTTTTCGTTCTGCCAAAACCAAAATATCTGAGAAGAAAAATTATAATTGCAAGGAAACAGAGAAGACAACAGAATTTTCAATCACAGCGGTTCAACAGCGATACAAAATTAGTTTTCCCAGTAGATATCAATTGGGAAAAGTGATCTTCTATCAAAACTCTGCCGCTTCATTAATCCTTTTTGATGTTTTTCGCAACCTTGCGGCTATTTTCGATCTGTTAAATTAATTTGATCCGTTTTTTGTCTAGCCTGTTTTTTTGTCTACCTCTTTTGTAATTTCAAATAAAACCTGATACATTCTAAACAAAAGTATTTTTGAAGTATCAAAGAAATTTTTAATTTCAATTCAAATTTCAGTACAAAACACCCAGACTTTAAATCCGGCTTTCGCCCATAACCAATATTGCACGCATAATCAAAGATAACAATGCGGCGGGGTGATTTATTATTGCATCTTCTGTTTTCTTTTGTTATTATTTTGTTTTTTATTTATTTTTAAGATGTGAGCGTACCTGGTTTTGGATGGATTTGTCTGCCTTCTTTTGGATCAAATACTTGACTATTTTGATTTGTCCTCTGAAACTCGCCTCGTGTAGAGCTGTGTTGCCAAACTAAAAAAGAAAAAAATATCTTTTTAAATCTTTCATCATAACAATTTTATCAATAATTTTTCTTACTTCTAAGAATCCCAATAATTATATAAACATAGACTTTTTATTCGATAAATTTCCCGAGCTGATAAAATATACTGATTTTTTACCTGGTTCTGATAGTTGATTGGACAGTTTTCCTTTATTAAGAATTTGACGGCTTCCAAATGTCCGTGAATGGCTGCGAGATGGAGAGGCGTACAACCAAGCTTAAAAAAAATTAGTTGGTCACATTACAATTGGAACATTATTTTCCGTTTTAAAAATTTAAGCGTACTTGATTACAATTGTAAAATTATTTGATTAAAACTGAAAAAAAAATTCCGTTTTATGAGACCTTTTTGATTGAACGAGTTTTCATGCTTTCTAACAATTTCAAAGAAATGTTCGCTTCAGCCTGGCGATTTTTTTCTTTTCGACAACTGTTTTTTATTTTGGCTTTGAAAAAACAGTAAACAATGATAAACTCGTGAAATTATTTTTGCAGCTTGTGTCAAATTTTTCTTATTATTTTCAAAAATGGAAAAAAATTGTAAAAAATTTATATCTTGATTTAGCAAAATTTTGATCTGATTTTTGCCTTTTCAACAGCTTCCTTCAGTATAGTAGAACTACTCGTCTTTAATGCAATTTAGGTTATTTACGTCTTCATTTTTGACAGTTATAAACGGATTGATTTTTGATTTGAATATGCTGATTTAGAAAAATAAAAAAAATGAAATTAGAAAGAATTCTAAGTCAGCTCTTAACACCAGGGGAATTGAAGAGAGTCTAAAAGATAACAATCGAATTCTCTTCTTAGCTTTAAGAGGTATTTTTAGAAAGAAAATTTCGCTAAAGGCAAATTTGATTATCTTCTTAAGAGGCCTCAAAAAGACTAACGGTGCAATTTTGAATTGATTAGATAGATTTTCCAATTAGGTTTTCAACTCGAGCGTGTTTCACAAAAGTAATATGGGCATTTTTTCTTAAATTTAAAAAATGAGAGAATATATGGAAAATGTTAGGAACTGCCCAGCAGTCACCGTTCAATTGCGGGAAAAAACTAGCAAGGAGCCCCAAGCACAAGGATCGCCCAAATCTGGATGAAAGCCTTGAATTACGAAACTGAAGCAGTTGATCAAACCATGTTTAACTTTCTAATTTTGAAAATTGCGAAACGGGGCTGAAAAAGTAAAGACCCTTGTAACCAAAATCGCGTTTTTTTTTTCGGCGCGCTTCTCAACATTAGTCAATAGAGGCGCCTAAGGGTCTTTAGAAAATTTTAGGGTCAGCCAGTCGTAAATGGAGGTCTTGAAATAATGCCAAAGGGGGACCTTTTGGGAAGTCAGGGGTCGAATCCCTTACTGGGGGAACGTACCGGCTTTCGACTAAAATCTGAGTTAAAACCTGAACCAGAAGAAATTGAGTAAAAAATCTAACCGAGTCCAGTGTGGTTTCGTTCCAGTCGAATCCGGGCGTGACCAGAGTCTTCAGAACGTCCAAGTGGTTGGCCATGGCTGCCACGTGCAGAGGGGTACGACCAACCTAAAGTAGAGAAGGAAAATTTGTAACGATTATTGTTCCATAAAAACAAAAGAAGCAATTAACACTTAATGTTCAGATCAGAGTTAACATAGCCGATCAACTGTTTACGAGCCCATAATGTCTACTGGAGAAGCGTACACTTTAGCGTCTGCAGATCAACCGAATCTAGAGACAACTCTTTGAACTTATTCCAAAATATAAGTGGATTCCACTCGCAAAATTTCCGTGGATTCCAATACGTGTAATGTAAAATTTTTCGTTTCATTAGTTTTGTCGAAGATTCCACAACGAGCAAATATACCTGGTTGTTCTGGAACCCGCAAACTTGAGCGGATTACGCGGATTATTTTGCTTAACTTCAGCGAATTCCGCTTACAAATTGCGGAATCTGCTCACAATTGGCAGATTACTCTTCCAATTCGCGGGTTCCGATTTCAATTTGAGGAATCCCGCTTACAATTAGAGGATTATCCTTACAGATGTGGATTCTGCGACAGAATAATTTAATTCTACACATATATTATTATCGTTTGAGGCGTCCATAAACTATTGCAGATTTTGCAAATTGTGTTGCGGATTCCTCAAATGTTTTTGCTTGTTGCAGAATCCGCTTGCCATACAAAAATTTCAGCGTTTGGCCAGGTATTGAAAAATTCTGCGAAAAAATTAGATTTTTTTTTATCTTTTGATACAAACACAGATAACTCGCAGATAAAAAAGTCGATAAGACAGAATAATGAACCATTCAAAAGTTATGAAAAAAGACGAGTTTTAAGTTCAAGTAAACCTTGTGACTGAAGGCCTAATTTTATGATTTACTTTTTACATTAGGAGAAAGCAGCAAAAAATAGGTCCGTCAAAAACGGCATTAGGATAGGGTTCTGAATTTTTCCAAAGAAATCGGAATCAAGGCGGAATAATCAATATTTGTTTTGAAAAAAATACAAAAATCTGGGTTTGAATTGTGTACATAGTATTTTTTGACAGGCACTAGTCTGATGAACCAATTTTTTTCGTAGGCAGCTCGATTCACCAAAAATGCCAATTATAAATTTTCAGAAATGGAACTTGTCCAAAATTGACACATTTCCGATTGTCAAAAAAATTACGTAGATGAAAAATAAAAAAAAGAGGATATTTTTTGCAAAAACTAACAGATACTGAGTTTTTACAGGTGGCACTCAAAATTATTTGAGAAACGAAAACTTTAAAACCAAAATTGAAAGGCTTTTATTACAAAAATTCAAGAAAACAAAAAAAACTTTGAGGAAAAACGAAACGAGTCAGTTTTTTTAGCCTCAAAATGACTCCAATATTCAAACAAAGTTTTTTCCATCACAACTTTTTTACACAATGTCTTTTCTTTTCATACTGAGAAAAAATCATGACCAGATTAACCAACTGTTTTTCATTCTTAAGTTAATGTCGTTTTTGGGCGTGTTGTGATGAGACAGAGTGATAAACAATGATAAATTAAATAAAAAACAATGATACTATAAATATTATCGGGAAATGATAAATAAAAATGACAAAAAGAAAAAATCAAAATTTTCTTGAAAAATTGGATCAATCACTTCAATATTTATTTAACGATTTTGCTTTTCACAGTCACCCTCCAAAAAATGAGTTTCAATTTTGAAAATTTATTTTTTTTGCAATAAGTTAATCAAATTTGCTGTGGTAGACGACGCAACTATCGTGAACACTTGTTTTTTATACCTTACATTGTAACAAACATTGAGCTGTAATAAGACGACAGAGAAAAACTGAGAAAAAAATGATTATTGTATAAATAGTAGAAAAGAACCAGTAATTTTTTACCAAGGAAGCACTAAAGAAGGTTAAAAAGTTAATTTTCATTTTAGTATAACCAAGTTTTCCTGGACTACCAATTTCCACATGAAGAGCGTTACTCGATCGGTTTTCGCGCTTGAAGATCCGTTAGTCTAAATTTGAGACACCGGGACATGTTTTTGAAAAATTTTTAACGTCGTTTCAATCCTAAATCAGAGGTTTTTGTTTAAGTTATCACTCGGCCCATCCAGAAAAAAATCTTGATAGTTGATTTTCTACAAACAACTTCTGAAACAGATCATGAGACAAAATTCTTACCCATTTGAGTTTTCGGACAAAATGTGAACAGCCAAAAACAATTTTTGTTAAGTGTGGTTATAGAAATAATTGATTTCAAGAAAAGTTAGACAATTTTTTCAATTGAAATTTTTCAATTTTATGCTTTCTAGCCATATACTGTTTTCAGTTTCATATTTAATAATCAAACAATTTTTTTATATTGCAATTGTGTAACTAGCCTCTTTTTTCCAAAATTTTTCACCGTTCAAAATGATTTAAGAGACATTAAACTCTAGAAAAACAACAATAAGAAATTTATACATTACTGCAAAGAGCGGTAAATATTCACCTTTGAGAAACAATTTCTAGCACTTCTTTTAGTCTCAAACAATCAGGTTCCGAACGCAATTTTGCTACACAAATTTATGACAGACAACAATCTTACACAGAAAATAAACAAATAAAGATGAATGTTTTTATGCAAAACCAGAAATGCTTTTTTTTGTTTCTGTTCGAGGATAAAAAAAACAATTATCTTAAAAAAAGGTCACGATTTGGAACCACTGAAGTTTTTCACTAACGCTTTTAACGCTTTTAACGTTTTTTCTTCAACTAAAGAAACTCAGACTCTTCGGAAAAAAGTTTTGGCTGAAAATTGACGAAAAATTTTGAAATAAAAGTAACAACTTAAGGTAAAGAAGATTAGACGATTTGCTCCAATTTTTCCTGCTTTTACTCTCGCTTACGGTTTTTTAAAATGATACATTTTGGGCCCGATAACTAGTAACAAAAGAAAAATACTTGCCTGAATTCAATTTGAATTGATTTCATTTGCTGCCTAATTTTGAATGAAAAGAACCATATCGCTCGCTAGTTATTCAAAACTTGTTAAACTGATCGTTTTATTCACTATGAAAACTAACACAATGAAAAATATTTGCGAAAAATTTTTTTTTAGCTCAAGAATAAAAATTTTGCATTTTTAATGAAAAATCCTTCTAAATCAGCTAATACAAAACTGAAGTTGGACTGGAAAAACACCACACCGAACACAAAAATTGCTTCAATTCCTCGAAGTCGTAACAAAATAAGTAACTTTTAATTCCTCGAAGTCGAAACAAAATAAGTATCTACGGGTGTTTTTTAAATCAAAACTCTACGCGTTTTAGTTAAAAATTATATTTCAAAACATATAGCTCTACCTTAAATGACAGTTACTTTATGAATCACTCTGAAAGAGGTATTTTCCTGAGTGAAATGTTTTTCCTCATTTTTATTAATTAAAAAACTTTTTTTAGAAAAAACTGTGCCCAATTATATTAATTAGCATCCGCGGGATTGAGGTGTTCTAGTTGGGTACAACTAACTTTCGTGTTAGCGCTGCTGAAGGTTGATCGTCGCCGATTTTGAAGCGATAAACTATTAAACATCCCCAAATATGAAATTTTAAGAAAATCAATAAAATCAATTGTACGTCTAATATAGTGTTTCTTGCAGACAATTCAGTCTCTACTTTTTGCCGTTTTTTAAAACGATACAATTTCAAATCCGTCTTGAAAATGTCAGTTGGATAAAAGAGAGGAAACAAATTGACGGTTTGGAGTCCATTAATAAAAATTCACACAAATGAAATTAACGTCCCTTCGTGCGCCATGGGGGTGAATTGAAACAAAATACACGACTGTATAAGGAGACAGCTTTTTGAAGCACTTAAATATTTCCGGATTAGCAAAAAAAAAGACAAGAATACAGCATGAACAAATCGCATCAAAGGTCATAAATGGCATGGTATGTAAGTACTTGAGAAGAAATATGCGACTTGGGAATTGAATTTTACTTTTTTGAGTGGTAAATTGGCTGATTTTTCATTCGATACGGGAGTTCAAATTGAGTTCCGCGACCGCTTCCGTCTTTTTGATACAAAAACCAATTAGAATTGGGTTAAGTAATTGAATTCAACAACCACAAAAAATTCAAATACGATAACTCTTCGAAGTATTCATTACTAGGCTGATCTGTAAAAAATGTGTCCCAAGGTAATTTAATCAATAGAATCCAAAACAAACAAGACTGCTCGTATCAGGGCGAAGCCCTGAATGTTCCGACTGCCCTTTAAGGTTTATGGAGCAGTAATAACATTAAAAAACTCAATGAAATAAAACAAAATGAAAATTTTTTTTTCTAAAACAATTTTTTTTTAATGAAAATCATCCCCCCACACGCCATACAAAGTACAAAAGGATAACAAACCAATTATGGCAAATAAGCTTCTTTTAACCAATTTGGAACGATTTCTAAGACGGATTAACTCTCCGCTTACGCGTTAATAGCGCTAAATACAGTGCTGATTTAAATTAACCGGACAAAACGCGTTAAACTTGAAATTTAAAACGCATTTTTCTCAAATTGGGTTGAGTTAAGGTGAAAATTTATGAAGACAAAACTTGCGTAGAATTTCAGCAGAATTAATATGGTATAATTTGTTTTGCCAAATTCTTGTCCGAAATTGTACCCCAAAAATGGGTCATTTTGGCTTTTCTTAGTTTATCAAAAATTACGCCAAAAATACCCAGTCGATCACAGACATAGTTATATCAAAGTGAGTCCCTTACGTAGCTCAACAAACTTTAGGAAGAGTATTTTCTCCAAAAAAAATTGCATATTGTTTAAAAATTGTTTTTAAATAAAAGTTGGTATTTTATATAGTAAAAATGAGCTTTTTTGTCTATCAAACAAAAATAAATTAACTTATACAATATTTTGGAGCTTATACCCTTCTTAGAGTTTGTTGGGCTATGCAAGGGACTCACTTTGATAAAATTATGTCTGTAATCGACTGGGTATTTTTGGCGTAATTTTGGATTAACTAAGAAAAGCCAAAATGACCCATTTTTGGGGTAAAATTTCGGACAAGAATTAGGCAAAAC